AGATCACAGACCCTCGTGCGCACGTCTTAACCTCACTGACCAGGCCCTGCAGCCGCCCGAGCAATGGCCAGTTTCTATGTTCGACATAATAAACCAATTGACCTTAATCACCGATTAGAATTAATTAATTAACTTAACTAATTCATTAAAGTCTTGGATTTAACCATTCGGTCAAACCTACGTCGACAGAATATCCAGTCAAAGCCTAAGTCAAACGTGACCTAACCCGAGTTAAAGTCAAACCTGCTCGGTCAATCCATAATCCTCAACAATTCAATTCAAGTAATCAATTTAATTCAATTAACCAATTTAGCCAAATTATAGCATAAACATATATAACGATCCGAACAATTAAATCTATTCTAAACGTTATTAACTTCATAGTACGGACCTGGATTACGCCGAAATCGAATCGATAGCTCGAACGGAAGACAAATCAACGAAATCAAACGAATGGGTCAAATTGAGTCAAAATACGAAATCGACCAATCAATCCGGCGTGGAGGTTAATCTTCCGGCGATATCAATCCGGGGCAGCGGCTGGATGCGGCGACGGTGACGGACGCCGGCGACAGTGGCGGAGCGGCAGCTGTTGGCGGTCTACCTTGTTCAAAATCGAGGGGATAGAGACAAACCGAAATAGGAAACCGAAGAAGAAGAAGAAGAAGAAGAAATTGACCTGAGCTAAGGGCGACGGCTGGAGGCGACTGGCGGCGCTCGACGGTGATGAGCGGCGGACTTCCGGCGAAGGCGAAACAGCGGCGATTGGCGGAGCTGCAGCTCGATGACGAGGACGACCGACGCTGGCAGTGGAGGCGACGAACGGCAGCACGACGAGGTGAACCGTCGTCGGCGGTGCTGATGCTGACGGCGGACCTCTGGCGAAGGAAGCAGCGGCGAGGAGGCTCTGGCTTGCGCGACGCCGGCGTGGTCAAATAGCAGGGGAGGATGGCCGGCGAAGAACGGCGTCTGGCGGCTGCAATTCGACGGCGATCGAAGATAAAGAAGGAGAAGGTGACGCTGAAGTGCGCGGCTCTCAGATCCGAATGGAAGACGGGTAGGTTTAGGTTTATTTAATGATCCCATTCCTAAAAGGATTGGGCTTCGGACCCAAAATACATGATTAGATGGTCATAACATGAGCTCCAAAACTCCGATTCGCGAGCCGTCTGAACCGACGTGATCACAAAAATATTTCCTACGAGATGACATAAAAGTTGGGCTTAAAATCCAAATTATAATTTTAACCCCTTTTTGGGCCCAATTCGTAATCAATTGCTCTAACAATTTAATTAATTCTTTTGGGCCAGATTTCGGGGCGTTACAAGACTACATTCCGACAGTCATATTCTTCTGAGTTGATTCTGATCCGAGAGTGGATAGGTATTGATGAGGAAGGTCTTACTATTTGAGCAGAATTAATCCACATTAGTGTATGTTTATACCCTACTACTTAGATTTGCTAATTATATTTACTCTTCTACTATTCATTATATGCACTTGGATTGAGTAGGTTGGACCTTGGGCTACCCTACAATCCTAAGGGAGAATCCATGCAATCCATCATTTTAACACTTTAGGGAAATAGGTAATCATTAAAGTAAATAGAAGATCAAACTGAAAATAAATTGTAAAATATATATTACGCGGATGAAATTGCTTCAATTATAAGCACATGAATTAATTAACATATTTTAAGAATGTACATGGACTTTTATGTTAATTTGTCTATGAATTTAAGAGGGTGTTTGACAGTGAGCTGTTTTTAATAATTTAGCTTCTATTTTGAGTGTAAGTGATTTTACTCTGTTTGGCAAGTCAGCTTCTGCTTTTCAGCACTACTATTTTGTACATAGAACATCGTTTCGTAGAAGCAGGTATGAGATGCTTTTGCTTTCAGCTTTTGTAGAAATCATTTTATCTATAAGTTAATCACTCATAAACACCCTATAAGTAGTTTATTCTTGACTCTGTAGTCTTCTTTAAACTCTATGAAATCAAACTATAAATTTAATTTTGAATATTTTCTTTTAAAATAAGAAATAGTCCTATATGTTAGTTGTGTTGTCTTCACAAAAGCTGATTGAGAATGGTAGTTAGATAAGTATTTTTTGGGTTAAGGAACCTGGGAGCCTAGGAAACTAGGCGAAGTGTATCGAACGAGAATCGAGTCTACTCAAGATAGGAATCAAGAGAAGTTATAGATATTAGTGTGTAAGTGAACATGTCTTTTTCACCTCTCGAAGTGGGGCTTATATATAGATTACAAATGGGCCTTCCCGACCGTTAGTCCATTATCTAACGGGCTGGGCCCACCAAGATCCGACCATTCGACCGGCGGCACCAACCGTATGATTATCCCTAGGGTGGCTACACATGATGGGTTACAAATAGGGTGGCTATAACCAATCCGATGGAGGCGTGGCAAGAGTCCAATTGCGGGTCCACTGATTTGACCAGTCATGCAGGTTTTTATATGCTGTGGGCCAGGTCCAGCGGCAACTCAGGCCGAGGTTGAGTACGCATGGACTGGTATTTGGGGAACTCCGATGGAAAGCCGGCCGACTACGATCCGAGGCTGAGTGCGTTCTCCCTGGGCCGAGCGTGGGTGTATTCAGATGTGGTAGCTCCTTTGGGACCTCATTTTCTTTCAGTTCTACCCTGCTGGGTGGACCTGGTTTGGATTGGGCTTTACTGGGCCGCTATTCCTGTTGGGCCAGATACCCCCATTCCAGGGTATCCATCAATATTAAACTTTTGAATTAATTAAAAATTTTGATTTGTTTTCTAAAATATTTATTTGTAATGATTCGTATTTGAAAAAAATCTAATATTGATATAAATAGTATTTATTATTCGTTATATAAACAAATATGAAAGAATATTAGATTACTCACAATATTAGTTAAATAAATCGTATATACTTTTTTTAGCGTTATAAGGGCATTTGCAATGGAAGCCGTTTTTTCTGTCGCGCCGCAAAAAAATTAGCCTGCCGTGTCGGGCTTCCGCTGCAGCCTACAGGACAACCAACGGAAAAGTCACCCTGGCGCATGCTGCTCCAGCGGTGCTCTACCGGTTCTGAAACACGACACTTTTGGATGGGCGTCGTCCATTGCGACGGCTCGCTGCGCCGCACCAATTTTTTTTTAATTTTTTTGTGTCCAATTTGGGCGGCTGTCCATTTTAACGGGCTGTGGCGCTGCTCTTTTTCCTTTCGGTGGGGTGATTTGAGAGCCTTCATTGTATGGATGTAAACAAATCAAATACTTTAAATTCGATCCAAGATCTGTATTCGAATATAATGATTCAAATCCGCATTATTCAAATACAAATTCAAATACTAGTTTTGATTCGAATATTAAACAAATACAAACACAAATAAAAGCATATTCAATTTGAGTGAAAATTGAATATTTGAATATATATATATATATATATAAACGGACCATATTTTCAAAATCAATAGTCAAGAAATTAAAATATTATAAAGTGCATTTAAATTACTAAGATTTTGTCAAATTAAGACGTAAATGTATTAATGTTTTTATATTTAGTATACGGAAGATTGTAAGTTAAATTATTCAAAATCGATGCGTGTCCATCATAAAAATTACGTATTATGCCTATCGAATATCCGTTTAGCATTTGATGCAAAATAATACGTAGATCGACTCATATTTCCCAATTATTTATGAAGAATAGTCAAACTGGGCTTCTTTAGTAAAATGGAAGAATAAGAGAATATTCTTTTGTAGATGCTCCTATTGCTCCTATAAAAGAAATAATCTACTCCAAGGAGGGGAGGCCTCTCTCTGCTAAATCCCATGTTCACTTCTCTCTCCCTAGATTGTTGTGTATTTTCTTCTTCTTCAAGAGCTTAGGAGCTCTCTCTTAATGGCTTTTGAACCCAAACTATGTACCGTGTACACCCCCGGCATTAATAAAAATCTCTCGTTGGTAAGGTACCGTCAAAAAAGGCCTGTGATTTTCTCACAATTGGTTTTCACGTCAAAATCCCCGTGTTTGTATTTTGGTGTATTCTATTAGATTAGTTTAACGTTCTTGCCCGGCTAAGAACGACACTTCGGTTAAGATAATTTACACCATCATGATTTGTTAACTATTTGAATGTTAATCAAATACAAATACAATTTTTTAATTCGTTTCATATTCGCATTCGAATTTGTATTCAAAAAATTAAAGAAATACAAATTTAAATATCTCGGGCTAAGATTCATTTACAACCCTACCCATTGTAATTGGCCTTAACTAATTTACATGTAATTTTTGTTCTCTCAACCCAGTGAAATGTAAAAAAGTCAACATCACAATGAAATATGTCAATTTTACAAGAATACTGCTTGTGTCCAATTAAAACACTGCACAAGTGTGGCCACCGAACCTAGCGGATTTAATAGATTCTCGCCGAGTCAAGTTTTCCGGGTCCCCTTTCTCCATTCCCTCCCGGCTCTCACCTAGCAAAGAGGAGCTAGGAAGGAAGAAGGGTCTAATGCAGTCATGGGGAGTCTCACCAAACCCCAGCAGCTATGGAGACAAGCCGAAAACCCACATTGCTATTGAATTGTAACTGTTCCTCCCAATGGGAAAGGTAGAGGAAGAGCAGTCGTTGCCGATTGCCGGAGTGAATCAGCAGATCACAGATTCAAATGCAGGTAGCAGCATTAGAATCGGACTTTGGCTGAGCTTCCGATGCGTGTTTGCTCTGCTGCTTGGCGTGTCTGTGCTTCTCTCCGCCGTCTTCTCGCTCCCGTTCTTCCATTCTCCAAATCCAGAGGCGCTGGATCCGGATTCCAGATTTGAAGGTACCCACTTGCTATTTTTATTTATTGATCTGTCAATTCCAGATTAGTAAAAGCGTGAGCAAGTTCACTAGTTTATTTAATTGCTCTTTCGAATAACGCCTTTTGGTGCTCGATTCTTGGCGTTCTCTGGATTAAGCGGAGCATTTTGAGTTTTTAACTGGGTTTTGATGCAAAGACTAGGTTAATTTTTCTAGTTCGAAGCTGTACACAACTTTTAGCAGTTCATTTCAAACTAACATACAAGTTTGGGTGTGGGTGGACTGCATGTTCTGGGCTTCAAGAATTAGAATTAAACAAGATACAAGTTTTTCTGGGTATTGGGATTCATTTGGTTTCTTGAAAGTGATTATAATCCTTACTGCAATATGAGCAACTACATGTAAATCAGAAAAGGAACCAGGGGAGTGATACAGACATGTGTTTTTATTAGTAGTAAATAGTAATTAGCCCTTTCTTGTATTAGTATTTAGTAGTATCGTTCGTGACAGTTTTTAATTTGGATTATTACTCTACTTTAGTTAACATTTCTAGTAGCAATGTTTTACTCTGTATTAGATTAGGACTCTATTAACTTGCTCTCCAAGGCTATAAATAGATGCCTTATAGTCATTAACAAGATCATCAATTGTTTTGGAGTCAATTCATGTGTGTCTTCGGCAAGGCCAAGCATGAACCCTAGTCAGCAGAGAACAAGCGCACCCCATTGGCCCATCCTCCAACGGCTTTGGATGATTGTTGTACACTGCTCAATTTCCATGAGATGACCTTCTCCCGAGTGTTCCTTTGAGTCCCACCTCCTACCAAGAAGATTTCATCCTTGTCAGTTCTTATTTCCACCTCATCAGCCCTGTCACTCAATTCGAGAGTATTTGTTTAACCTAAATTTTACTCCATGGTGTAATCATATCCCATTTGTTTGTGAAGGTGTGCTTTCTTTCTAGTGTTTGACTTATCTGACCTGTAAGTGTTTCAAAATTTCCTGATTGGTTTTAATAATTTAATCACGAGATGATGCCGGAAAATATAATGACAAAACATGGCGACTGCTTGTGTTATTGCATAAAGTTCATGGACATAGGTGGAGTCCACTTGCTTTCTAGCCAGAAAATATTCTTAGAAAAATAAGCCTCTAAGTGTCCGTTTTGACTCAAGATTGCCCCAATACCAAGGCCCGAAGCAGTGGTTTCTGAAGTGAATAATTGAGAAAAATCTAGCAACGCGCCAATCTAGCCATGTGAGTGCTTAAACCAGGGCTGATTTTAACTGCTCCAATGTCACTTGAGTGTCAAAAGTCCAGAGAAAAGTATCCTTATGCAGTTGTTTAATTAGTGCCTTAGGAACATTGGCATAATGCTGGATGAATAGCCTATTCTATCCTGTTCCAGCCAAACCAAACATACCCCTTATATCCCACTCTAAGGCCTAAGCTTGGACACACATCTTACCTCTACCCCAATGAGAAGACGGACTATTTATGGTACGGCTGACAAATAGTAACACACATTGTGTGTGGTGTAAAAAAAATTGAAGAGTGTATAACATCACGTCAACCCTAGAAATCCTCTTAACTATGTGATAACTAAGGGATAT